TTCAAAAAACCATCAAAAATTGCTACCCAACAGTCACAGAATCAGTCTTCACCGACATCATCCCAAGATAACCAAACACCACCTTCAATTACTCAAAACCCTCAAACATCTACACGAATTTCTTTTCAAGACAATCCATACACTTTTGAAGAACGACATGCTCGTTTATCAGAACCACTAGAACCAGTTCAACGACAAGCACCTTTAAGCGAACCAACATATAACCTATATCCAACACTACCACAAGAACTAAGTAGAATAAAAAATTCTAGTCAAAACCAAAATACAGTCGAAATAAATAGACAAATTATACATCCTCGACGAAACAGAAATTTTCAAACTCCCCGAGTTCATTTTGATATACCTCAATCCCCATCACAAAACACTCCAGAAAACCCCATTGGTATATTACCAGAAACCCCTACGCTTCTTTCACAACGTAGCACCTCAAGCCTACCATCAGATTACTTAGGTTCAACACCAACATCTGAACAAATACGTGAAAATCCCTTTAACCCCCCAAACCAAGCATCACGACTACCATATTGGACTACACATTCATTTACACAAGGTGAACCAAATTTAGTCAATGACCCCATAGATATTTCTACGGATACAACAACATCCTCATCACTTCCAGAAACATTATCACTACCATCAACACCATCAATAAGCCAGTTTTCACCACCACCCTTTAACTTGAATTTTCCAAATAATCTCGACGCCAGATATCGAGAACAATCATCAATAAATATCCCTTTAAGATTAGATTGGAATACATTCACAGCACCCCCACCATTATTTGGACAACATCAAGAAAGTAACCGCCTTCATAACTGGGCACTTAATAGATTACAATATCGCCAAGATATTCACAACGATATCCGTGATCACAATATTCAAATACTCCAACAAAACAGTTTACAATTAAAGTTTGAAATCACAGTTAAGTTAAATAACATTACCCAACATCCCTACCCATTAAATCCACCTAACATAACAGCTCAATCACTACCACCACCGTTTATAACTACTGAGGTAATATATAAATACGACAGATATACCAAAAACACAATTGGTTACATTACATTTTATAACCCATACTCAGGATTATCATACACATGTATATTCTAAAACTATTAATTTTTCTCCAACTCCTTTTTCTAGTAATCTCAAATCAAAACATAAACCCTTCCCCTCGTACAGGACCACAAGATTTATTAGTAACACATTACGATTGTGAAGAAAATGAACAAAAAACACTACATAAATATGCAATAAATCAAGTATCACAATGTGAAACAGAACCACAAGCTATAGAAACCACAGATATAATAGCAACACTCTATTCAAAAGCCCGAGCAACAACAGTTACAGGTTATAAATTCACAGCGACATTTTCCGAAAAGAAAGTACATTGTTCACAAGTCTCCAACGGCAACAAAAACCGACTTGACCATGAATCATTCTATCAAAGTAATATAGAACGTCTTTTACATCTCAATCCCGACGATTGTAAAAATGAATTACTTAGACTAAACATCACACAAAATAAAAACTCCCAAAGAAAATTAGTTAATTTTCAAGTTTTTTCAGACTCTGTACATCAATCACAACTTGAAAGACACCAAGGACATATAAAACTAGACGAAAAATACCCGTATAACGGCGCACACGGACGATTAACCTATGACCTACATGATAAACATTGGATACCACACATTGGTATAAATAACCCATCAAACTGCAAAGCAGACACAAAAAATAAAGGATACCAAGAAATAATGTTTTTCGATTGGAAAATACAACTCGAAAAAATACAACTAACACGAGATTTATCAGATAATACAATGATCTATCAAGGAATCCGATTACCTTGTAAAAATGATCAAGGTTATTGCGACCCTACAACGAGAACACAAGCAACAATTGTTTGGTTCCCCGAAGATACATGTACAACATTTCAAGTAGCAAAAATACACGCTCGTATGATAAAATTTCACGAAAAATATTTTATACAATCAATTCCATATGAACAAGTCCATCCATCACGAAAACTAAGTTCAAATTTTAGAAACATAGACAATATAGAAAACAAATTGACACGTTTCCAAATATATCAAGAAACAGAACTTGCATGTAAATACAGGAATCCACTTCACAGAACACAATATTCTGAAATATTAGTTGAATACGAAAAAGGATTCGACATGACCACTGGAAAAGTAAAAATCGACCCATATGCCACAGGTCATCCTCTAAACGAAGGAACATCCTATATACCAGTTAATTTTCAAAAAAGCAACGGACAACCTGGTGGACATCTAAAACCTCAGGACACCAGAAGCACACGCTTACAAGAATTATCACTAATGAACACTACATATTTCGGTAATATCCACTATGATATTCATTTAGATATGAAACTAGATTATACAATTAGCCGAATTTTTCAAGAAATGTCACTCTCCGAATTAGAAACACTACACCAACTATGCGAATTAGAACGAACACAAATATTACAATCACTTGCACTAGCAGTATTAAAAATACCCTATGCAGGATACTTATTATCTGGAAATAGATCAAATTTTTTAGACTATGAAGGAAACATCTTATGGTTTTATACTTGTACCAAAAAAGTATCACCACTATACGTTTTTGAAGATAAACGATGTTATAAAAGAATCCCTATCTTTTATAAGAATAAAGTACATTTCGTGGATACACTTTCACGAAGAACCTATTTCTGGGATACCGCAGTCCCATGTGGATCAGAAAATAGCCACAATGTAGTACAACTAAACCCTGATGAAAATAAATATTATCTTCTCACTCCATATCCCACATAATTGCAATCACTCAAAAAATTTTCACCAGAAAGCATTCGCGCTATTGCTCGAAACCCAAATATAGACTTACAATCAATAGGAATCTATTCAAAATCAGATATTCAACATCACATTAGAACACAACAATTCCAAGAATTATTAACACAAATGGACACTATACAAAGACAATCAATAGACCAAAATTTACGCAAACTTGCAGAAACCGCAGGATTTGCCGATATCTACACGCAAGACTATAGCGGATATTTTAAGGACATTAAAGATTACATATATCTAAACGGTGAAAAATACCGTCCCCAAGATATATCACCAATTAACATTTTTAGCTTTGTTACACTCAAAAATGAGATCCTCGATTTTCTAGGATGGCCCTACTACATCTTAGAAAAATTGACTATTTTATACGCAATGTTTAACTTTATTGGATTTCTTTTCTCACTTTTAAAAGGAATCTACAACACATGTGCTATACACACACAAGTAAACAGACAAGCAAGTGTAGCACGCATACTATTTGCAGGATTTTTTGGAATCTTTTCTACATCTATAAACAAAATTCTTTTAGACGCGCAAATAAAAGAATATAACACAAAAATAACAACACGACAAAATACATACGACGAAGAACATAACAATGTAGACATAACGCCAACGGCACCACAATTACCAGCCCTACCAAATAACCATCCACTATCCCTAGTCCCACGAAATTTTCGAAACTTAGCCATCACACATAATCCAAATTTTCGACTCACCACATCACAAAGTCCCATTCAACATATAATGACACACCAGTCACAAGATGATAATACTTATGAACAAATTATTGAACAACCCCATACCACCGCTTTTCAGTCTCAAAATAATCATTTTTTTAGCCCACGATGAGCCGCCAACTTGGATCACTACACCGATCAAATTCCCACCCAACCAATCTTACCTCTCCAATCCCAATAATACCACTTTTTGCTTTTCCGCCACCCGATTTTCCATCTAGTAATGTAACATCAGGCATGAATTCCGACACTAATTCACACATCTCAGTTTTATACTCCATCTCACAGCTAAATAACCCGAATATTGAAACCCCCGATGAATTCGCCGACTCAGAACCATCCCCATCCAATAATTTTTATAACTCTTCTAATTTTTCTCAACCCCCTTTTCAACCCATATTATCCAATAACCCTGACCCAATTACTCCCACACCCTCTTATGCTTCCCAAGTTACCCCAACCTATTCCTCATACCATTCTGACCAATCATCTCATTCTCCAGACACCCCCCGAATCTCCCCAGAGCTAGATAATTTTATTACCCTTCAACAACAACCCTACCACCTTAATACCCCAACCATAAACCAAATATCCTCCACAATAAATTCATCCAACCCCCCTACCCCTACACCCTCTTCAACTTATACTGAATCACTAGCACCATCATCCACATCAACTGAATCTTCACTCAACACTAATAGAGCTTACCGCACTTTTAAAAGAAAGTTCCCCAACCATCCTTTCCCAGCAAAACCAGTATACCCTAGATCTATTGAGCCTAGCAGAGACTAGTTAAACAACCTGAGACTAGATAGTATAAGAGTAAGATTAGGATCGGTATTAGACTAAGAAGTTGCACGAATCTATCCGGCCGAAAATAAGATAGCGTGACGAGCAGACGGTGTACCCTATCCGAAATTACTCTATGAGTTACACTTCGGACCTAACTCACTACGAAAATAACAAAAAGTAAAAATTAGACGCTGAATAATGTTACCAAACTCTTATCATTTTTTCGAAACCAATGCTTCAAGTTGAAAAAATCTAATTAAATACACCACTTTAACTTGAAGAACCTCAAATCGATTATTTTACTTTGAAAAACCACCCAGCAGAGATAATCAAAAAGTTCTATTGAGCTTTTCAACCAGAATATTGGGTTTCAAATATGACTATGCTATTTTTGCTTAAAATATTTCACTGTTCAACATCATTAAAAAAATTTGTTTTTAGTTTGAATTATTGTGATCGGATTATTCTGTGCTACTTAAAGAGCAACAGATTTTCCTTGCGGAACAATTGGCTCTGATTTTCTTTTTCTTTTTTAAAAACTATTCTACAATATGATGAAACACAATCAATGTGATCCCACCTGTCTTGCGGTCTGTGTTTGTCTCATCTGGCTGCTTCAAAATCTGTCCAGTCGAGTCCAGAAAACATATAGATATAAGAGCGCCTTTGACGGAACAGACCAGACCCAGATTAGATGGTGAATAGAGCATCTTCCTCGTACTGCTCTGACTCTGTTGGCTTTGACCTTGAGGTGGTTGACCTGAAGTGACCCCTGCGACTGCTGGGGGTGACTGACACTGGTACTGTCTGAGAGCCACACAGGCAACGCTGCTCATACTAGTGCCGAGCCAGATAGAAAGTACTGCGCTAGGGTCTAAACATGGCATCACTTTTTTCTAATAAGCTTTGGAGAGCAATTGCCGAATGAACAAACTCACTTCACAATTTAAATAGAAGAAATCGTCGTACATACATTTTCTTTGTACATTTTAGAGATCGTGGCACATTATAAAGATAGTGCTACTACATGTTTATCCATGATAGCAAAGCAACACTTGAAAATTGCGACCAGGGTTCGTTAAAAAAAGTTTTTTTTTCCCCGTTAAAAACGGCATGGCAACAATTCGTCGCAAGCGACCATTCGCAGCGGCAAAAGCTATGATCAGGTCAAAAGAAATTAGATGGAAGTATTAAATTAAAGAACAAAGAAACTTAAAATCAAAATTGAACGAGAGGCCCTCAAGTTGCTTGAGAACATGATTGTTGCTTTAATGTTCAAGGATTTCAAATAATCTGCTTGGCTTTTTTCGTAATTTGTCACCTTGGCGGCACTTTCTACGGCAGTTATTCTAACCAATTTCTTCTCAAACAGACTTTGTTCTGTTCTCGTGAATTGAAGAAACTTGTGACTAGTAGGGTGAGCACACCCAATCCCCATCTGGAAGGCCCTATGCCATTCCTCCACCGAATTGTTTTGTATTTTTGGCGTTTTTCGAACTGATACAGAGTGAGATAGGGAATTGCACAACCCCCCATGCGTCCTCAGAGGTTGGTTCCAACCCAAGTTGATCAAAATAATCGACGTAATCCAGTAAGGGGGTAATTGTCAATTTTGTCTGAAATTTCAAGCACAAAGCAGCCATGCCGATTTCAAAGTCGAGCCCAGGTATTAGTGCAAGGGCAACAAATGACTTTAGAAGCTTGCATGTTTTTTTATCTTCTCCATAAACTGATGCTAATCCGATCGCTTGACTTTCGGGCCATGTGGCCTGAGAGAAATTGAAAAAGCAACATTTTTATAGTTACATTGAGCACCTTCTCAAAAGCGTTAATTGAACCTTTTTTCAAAATCTACCAAGCTCTGTGAGGGCTCAAGTCCCGTATTGATTTTTTTTCAGTTATCTGAAGGCCTGGATGAATTGCTCTTCACTTCCGTTTTGAAGAAGAAAGAAAACTGTTGGACCATTAACCACTAATGGAACAGTTTGATCATTAAGTCCAGTTTAACCGATAACATTCATTGAGACTCCAGAAAGGGCCTCAAATTACCTTGATGAAGAAGACATCCATGCTGGTCCGGGCTTCAGTCACGTTAATCACACAGAAGCGAAGCTGAGCTTCGCACAACTTGCAATACAAAACAAAAAAGCTGCTAATTCGAAAAATAATGGGAAAATTCGAAAAACTGGATCAAACTACAAGGATAGTTTTGAAACAAAAACGAGTCAAAACAATAGAAAGTGAAACTAGCATCGAAAGAAAAGTTATCACGCGGTAACAAAGCCGAAAATACCTTAGCAGAAACTCTTTTGACCGAAAACACATGTTAACGTTATTAAGTCCCTCTCACTCTCAACAGACATACACAGCTCGTGAAACGACGCAATGCGATGTGACTAAGCCGATATAGGCCGAAACCAATCAAGCCGAAAAAAAACACAAAAAAAGTCAAACATTTTTAAGACTTATAAAAAGTCATTAAGTCTCCCTCACCCTCAAACCACAGACACGCACATACAGACTTTTTTCGCCTATGAAAAGGCACAACATGCTGCTTTTAAACCGATATAATATACGCCGAAACTTATCAAGCCGAAAAAAAAGAACGAAAAAGCTGAAAAAAAAAAACTGTTGTCATGAACAACTTGAACAATAATTCTCTATTCAAGATTTTTAGCATTTTGTGCAATCCAGAGGTGAGCATAAAAACTATATTTCCCAAGAAATTACTCAAAATTAGGCCACTAAGCCAATATAAACATAGAGACGATGTTGCACTTCGCATAGAAGCAAAAATATGACCGATGAAGCTACTGGGAAAAACTGGATGAATACAACTTTGAGTCAACATAACTGCTAAGTCAGGCATTAGCAGTACCAGTCAATTAGAAAAAGAAATTTAAAACTAACATGCCTCAATTTATACAGCGGACGCATTTTAACTAGTTTACGAAAAAGTTCATTTAAAACATCCTACCCTGCCCAGGTTCCAACCCTCTTATTTTGTTGCGGGTCTCCTTTCCTACCTCTACGCTACAGCTCCATGATGCCTTGAATCTAAAGTGCTAATTGTAATATAATAGCTTGTGTTAATATCCTTAGCATTGGCTGTAATTATTAGCTGGTTTTTGATCAAAATGAACATTTTCAAAATGAACACCAATATTTCCGACTAAGGTTGGAAAAAAAGAGTTCATACTATCACACAAGCTTAGCTTGTGTAAATAGGCCGAAGCCTACTAAACCGAAAAAAGGACACAAAAAAACTAACAAATCGAGTTGGAAAAATCACAACCAACATAGGAAGCAAATTTTGAAAAGGACGGATATATAAAATAACAAACTCAACCGTGCTTAATATTGGCAACGGAGAGGAGTAGGATTTGCACGAAAATTGGGGACGAAAATGTGAAGGAGTCCAAATGTGAGTCCTGTGGACAAAGTTCTTTACGTGAAAAAAAGTCTAGTACCCGATTGCAATACCCTTGCTATCGCAAGGGCAAAGATGATGGTGCTCATGTTCAAGATGTTCCCAGTATGACGAGGATGTTCCCAGAGGATGGTGCTCATGATGAGGACGTTCCCAGATCTTAACGATGACCATAGCGATGACAATGAGGCTGGTCGGCGCTACAGCTGCGTGAACCATTCTCAGTTTGAGAAGTAATTGAAAGAGTTTTTCTTTCTGTTGAAGCTATCAAACTGAACTATGATATATATGATAACCTTTTTACTTATGTTGAAATTTATTGTTAAAAAAGGTTAATCGTTTTGGTCATTCGCACCTTCAACATTTGTATAGTCTTTTAGTTGCTGACCTGCATTTCGGGTCTTTTGAATGATACTCTACTTAAACGCGTTCAGGCAATGGCTACTGATTTAAGGAGTACAAAACAACACTGGTAAAAAAAATAGAGTTTTGTCAAGTGCCCATCGATGTGCGCAAAGCATTCGGTGCATATCGAAGATTTTTTTTTCGAGAGCCACAGTCAGAAACCAATAATGATTTGCAAACCATCACTTGAAACGGTTGGTGACCGCTGCATACAATTAACCTCAATTCCGCAAAAAAAATTATGAAGTTGCCGTCTCCACTGCACTTACGGACAAACAGTGCTTCGTTCCGACATCAGAAACAGATTTTATACATAGGCGAAGCTGCGCTTCGCAAACACTTGCGAGAACACGACAATAAGCAGCTCTATAAAGTGCAATAATACAGTTTCCCAAGATTGAGCAACTAAACGAGTTTTCGCAAGTATATTATTTTAGAAAAGCTGACTAAAAAATTATAGTCTAACTGTGGAAAAAACACATTTAAGCGTGAACAACTTCATTAAAAACGACTTAACTTGGCGTCTCAACTTCATTATTTACCGTTTTTAAGTGGGAATGAGTGCATGAAGGCAATGTACTGCACTGCGTCCGAACAGTCGGCTCTCTCCAAGCTACTCATGCTGGAACTTCTGGACCGACTGAAGCCAGACTGACCCCCTGAAGAGCCACCGTCCGTCTTGTCTGTAAACAGAACCCTGTCATATTCATGTACAAATGCACGTGATCTAGGGTGTAATAAATCTGCTCCTTCCAATACCATCCACCCTCTCAATAACCCGCTCCTTACCTTAGCAGAATCTACATTTGCAAGGATTGAATTTTTTTGAATAACAAATATGTTCCTAGGGTTTGTTTGTTCATCAGGAAGATTGAAAAAATTCTTCGTATGTTTTACTTCATTTTGTGGAATCGGGGTATGGAAAAGAGCGAGGAAGTTCAGGCTAAAATTCAAATAATTTATGACTACAGGGTACACTTGAATGCAAATTCACGCCACACAGAAAACGGTCCGAAATAATAATACTTTTTAAAATGGTCCGATATACAGTCCACAACATTTCAGTATTGCAGAATGTTTCATCGTGGACTGGTGCATTTAAGCACAACTAAATTGATTTAAAGTTCACACTTCATGCCGGCAAAATGCAATACATGCTAGGTGTTTCACAATGAATGCAGTAATGGCAGTTTTTGGTTCAAACAGTCAGAACATGGAATTGATTATATATTTTTCAGCATCAAAATAGGTTCTACTTTTCTACGTCCTTTCACAGAATTTAAATATCGTTGCCAGCAAGCAGCTCTATTATTTGAAAATGATCATTTTTATACAGTATCACATTAAATTACGAATGGTACATAAAACGTTCGTTTCTTATCTACTCGAAGCCTTCCTATCGGCTTTATCAGCGCTATTCAATTCTTTAACCACGTCACTACACTTTCCTCGACCTAATAAAGAAGAATTTTTGATTGATAGACAAAGAATAAGAATTTAAGGAAAGATTTCGCCTACAATTCCAATCGTACTGGATTCGTTGGCAGACATGTTATTGCCACGCTTCTTCTTTCTTTTCGCCCTAACAGTCTTCTTCTTAGATTTAGAAGCGCAGCGGTGCTCCTCCTTCAATTTAGGAAGCGACAGCTTAAAAGAGCCTCGTGCAATGCTCGATTTAGGCGAGCGTCTATGCTTGGATCCAATAGAAGGGGAGCAGGTGAGACGCCTTGGCATCGGCGATGCACTTCTATCTAAGCGAGCACTTAATCGGGGGGCTATTCTCATGGCAGATGGGCCGAAGAGCAGAAAAGTAACCACCAATGATTTAATTTCAAACGCGTACAATAGTTATGGGTACATGTTAGATAGTTGGGTCGCTAGAAAAAGTACGTAAAAATATGGGTCTCGTTCTTTAGTTCAAATAAGCGAAAACCCAGATGAACAATTGTGAAAGCTCTTCTTGAATATTGCATGGACCAGAAATTATTTTTCAGGGACGAATAGATACTTGAGGGACCCAACTATGATCTTTTACCTAGTCACATTTAATTTCAATTTTTTATTACTGTATTCTTATTGGTCAATATAATTTTCTGTCTCAGTCTTTCTACCATGGGACATACCCTAGCACCTGTTAATCAAGTAAGAAACTTGGGAGGGGATCAATTCATGCAAGCCAGCCCGTGATCACCCAGAAGCTCGCATTGTCTGACTTCCGAAACGTAACTTTAGTATCACACGAATAATTTTAAGGTGATTTAAACAAGAACTTCATAGTTTTAATCTGCGCTTCATAGCTAATCTTCCACTGGTGAAATATCCTATTTTTTTATTCATCAATTTTTATCAGTCGAGATTGTCAATAATAAAGACAACAAACACAGGAGTTGTAGCTCAAAGCACAAAAACAAGAGTGCTTTTGCAAAAAAAAACTAAAACTTTTGGCACATATCTAAAAACGACAGAAAGAAAGAATTATGAAGCTAAAGATGAAACCTAAATTAGACTCAGAGTGCAGAAGATAATGTAGCAACAAAATCACATAAGGCTTGGACGCTCAAGCAGTTGTTTTCTTTTTCAACTCAGACTGATTTCAGTGGCGTATTTGGGGACCCTCTATAATAGTGAGGCGCCCAATAATAAACATTTTGTTTATTTTTTTGATTATTAGACCCGAACCAATTACACCTTTCTTTTTTTTGAAGCCTTCGAAAAGGGAGTATGTATGAATTTCATGAATTGTACAGCTTCTTCAATTTGAAGAAACTCCTTCGTTGGGCTAACATTAACCTAACTTCAGAAAAAAAAGCATAGACAATTTTACTCAGAGGCGACGCTGAGCCCAAGATAAAAACAAATCCCCACACTATTGTAAAAACGAAGCCACATGTAGGGCTGAATTTGAGCATTCAAAATTTCACTGTCAGAGTCCTATCAATTTCAAAAAAATCCAAAGTTTTCAAGAAACAAATTAAAAGCAAAATAAGCAGACAGAATTAAAGCTGACAACCAATAAGCTGAAAGTCAACCAAAACTTTTAGGCAAAAAAACTCTATTAGAGAAAATCGCATGTACTGCCAAATATCGTCCAAGAGTGCCACATACGTTTTGCATGCAATGGCAAGGTGGCATACACAATTTGTATTTTAAACCAACAGAGCTCAAGTCGACATACATGCAGCCAAAAAATTGTCAGCAAAAAATATCAAAATTTAAAAAATTCTAGAAATACCCGGTAGTTACTAGCAATAGTAGCGAGTGTTAAATTTGAATTTCAGTAAATTGAGCATGTCCACAGTGCGAATCAGCACAATTATTTAAATGGTTTTGTTTTAAATTGCTAGCCGAAAAAAGTCTGTATTCCGATTTGATAACGCTTGCTAATCGCTACCGTAAGCAAAAATGAAGCGCGAGATTTGGTGCAATTCCAACGTTCATTTTGGAAAGCTAAATTTGCGATGCACCTGGAAATTAAATTTGAACACGGCGAAACTACATTTCAAAAACACCGGCAAAAATGTAGTAAAAAACAGCTCAAAAACTACAAAACAAAAAAAGAGATAGAGAAAAAATAATTTAAAATTGAAAAAGCTCCGAGACTACGGGATTAGAATTCGGACCTCTTCGCCGAGAGTCCTTTGCCACATTCGCTTAGTGATGCAATTGGAGTATTTTCATGCATAAGTTAATCTACAAGACAAAGCAGTACAGCAAAAAAGCGCTTCAAAAAAGGGTATATACTATCCATCATGCTCTTTAGCTCACGCATCAATTTTGCAAAACTTTTAAAACCTTTTTATTGGTGATTCGAACATTTAAAAAAATTTCCCAGTGTCGAGAAACACCTGTTTGAAATTTGATTTTTTCTTCTAAGCGAGCAGGCTTACAATAGTTTATTTTAATAGCTTAAAATTGCCTAATTTAAGCGGTTAAACTTACTTTTAATCGACTTAAATTAGTTTTAAGTTTTTTTTAAATTAGTTTACCCCTTTTTTGGAAACAACACAGTCAAAAATTCAAAACTGCAAATTAAAAAAAACACTTTTTGATTATTTTTTGACTTTCTCGTCAATTTTCTACTATGACTGTGGAATATGCCTCGGCTCTATATATTCGTTCAGATCCTTCTATCGCGCAACTCAGAAACAAAAACAGAAATGATTTGAAACTATAGTCGGAACATTCTTTGCTACTTGCAGAGCAACCGGCTATCCTTGTTTATAATTGAGTTTGATTTATAACCATCTGGACTGGCCTGATAAGTCTTCCTTCTATGGCGGTCTCAACTGTTTATAAGAAAACAGTTTGAGAAACCGGGATCAAACCCTTTTTCTCAAGTAAAAGAGAAATTCAAGAGAGAAGAGCATGATAGCTAAAAGTACATAAAACAAAACAAATGTAGCCTACTTAACAGAATCTAATAATCATAGCGAAAAAAAATCTTTTAAAAACAAACCCAGAGAGCAGCAAAAACCTATCCATAAACAAAAATATATTTCCCATTCACGAGCGAAAAAATCAGATGACGCTCATCGAAGCCAAGTCTTTGTGATCTTTCGCTACCTACTTTTAATTTTGGCCAAAATATCTGTAAAATATTTCAAAAATGATATGTATCTCATCTGGTGACGCATTGCTAAGCCCGAACAGCTCGCAACAAGCGTACTTTGATTTCTAAGCCAGATTACTCTCCTCATGAGTGCTTTAATAGAAAAACTTTGCGCGACTGATCCCTGAGCTGCGCGACTAATCCCTCAGCCCAATTGAGCTGGTTTATTACAATTCTAATTTTGGGTAACCGGATTGTTAAAAAAAGCTCGTTAAAAAGTCATCCAAACTTGTCTGATTAAAAAATGACCAGCAAATTAAATAGTTCGTGAATCACCGCAATCTTCATTATAAGCCCCTGCCCTATCTTTCTACTTCAGGTTTGTATTCCGTGGGGATAATTTGCCATCCATTTTGCTGTGGCCGGTTCAATTCGAGGAAGCGGATGCCACTGGGACTCCTCTAATCATGAACGAAGCGAGATTCCACTTAAAACTCTACAAATCAAATATTTTAGCGAAACTGGATTTGTGGCGCAAATAATTTGGTCCTTTTTTGTTAAAACGTATTTTGATCGACGCTTGTAAAATTATTTGAAAAAGTGAGCTTCAAAGTCAATCGGCAAAAAAAAAAAATGAGCGCGATTATATTTCAATCAAAATTATTAACACAGGCCTCGAGATTGGGAGTCATACGTTCTCGCATCTGCACCACTGGTCATTGAAAATTTCGTAAAACAAGCCATCAATGATGCATATGCCAATCAAATTCTTATGTTGTGTAGAAAAAATGCCACCAAATATAAACTAAAACTGGTACTAAGTGCGGCGTTCAACCTCCAACAAGTAACTTAATTATCTCACTTTCTTCTCTCTGAACCACGGACGCTTGCCTAACGGCAAATACTAGCAACGAATAAAGCAGAGAACAGATGCTATGAAACTTCCAAAGCTACAGATCGTGATTATAGCAAAAGAGCCACCAAATAAGTGAACACTTTTAATGGACACTTTTAACTGCGACTCAGATCAGGAAGAAATGTTGCAACGTACAATCACACTAAACTCCTCTTTTTTGTAAAAAAAAAAACAACGGCCTAAATAAGTGAAGGCTAACTTTCTTCAATTATCTTAGAAGGTAAATGCTCATCAAGACAGCACGCATAGCTCAATTTTGCCGCACGGCAATGGTGGCTGCGCAATTTAAAACTGCACTACGCGGGAGTAAAATAAGCTTAAAGACTTTTTAGGATAAACAATCCTCTCACATCTATGATAGTTGAGGAAAACTATCTAAACACGCCACTGTCATCATCTGGAAAAATTTATGTCTTCATTTTTTCAGTCAGTCAAAGATGATGCGGCTCTTTTTTTTTCGCTCCCCCGGCAAAACTTACTTCAAAGACTATGGTTCACATGTCTAATTATCATTTTGAAAAATATGACATACACTAATTAATCTACTCCAAATATATTTGGTCTTCATACATAGCCTGTAAACCCACTCGTTACACCATAAAACTGACTCTTAAGTGAATGATGGCGTGGGGGGGGGGGGGGGTCAAAAGAAAAAGAGCCGATGATGCTACATTTGAATTCACACCTGAAGTGAAGAGTGAAGTGTTAGTTACCTGAGACGAAATGATTGGTACGCTGCTGGCAACAAATGGCTTGATGAAAAGTCAAAGTCACAGGTTATACTTATCATTGAAGGGTCTACCAAAACTCAATGCCAATGCGCCCCATTTTTCACTTAATAAAATTCTCAGTAGTGGGCTTTTTTTTGACATCTTAAATGCATCTAAGATTTTTGACGTCCGCACAGCTGTGACTTTTATGAAAAGATTCTGAGAAAGACCCCAAATTCGACGATATTTATTATAATTCTTGTTTTTGTCGCAACACTTGGCTAGAAGGCTTTTTCGCCTTAAGTACAGGCCAACAAAAACTGACAAAAAATCAGCCAATATCTCCCCTCTTAATGGTGGGGTTTCATGTACCGAGTACACCATACCCATTTTGCTCGTAAGGAGTGGACGTTATACGCTGGCGCGGGCTATAAGCAGCAAAAAACAACATATTTCTGAGCAGTATGAACATCATCACCAAATATTATTAACCAAAAAAAAGGTCGGTTTTATACTTTGCCATTGTTAACTCGCCTTTCGGAGTGTTTAATTACCATAACAGACCCAAATTAGAAACCTACAAAAGCTTATATTAATAAGAGCATCCGATATTTGAACGATAAATTAGGGTGTAAAGAAGAAAAGGTGAAGGGTGAACCTTATAATGATGCATCTATTGGAAAAAAAGACTACAGGGTAATTAATATACAACCCTAACCATTCCAGTCAACGACAAAATAAATTCGATAGTCTCTATAAGGGTAAAAACATCGAATAACAGTCAGAAGATGCAAATTTGATCGCTTCAAGTCCAAACTGCATGACTTGCAAGATTCCGCGCAAAATATTTCAGATGACCTGATGCAAATTACGCCACGCTGGTTTGCAGATTTAGGATGACGTCATTGAGTGGTTTCTTCTTATTCTTGAGAAGGAAATAAAAACCGAGCACCAAAATGCACATGGAAGTGACGCTTCAAATGCACAATGAGGACGTCTATAGATTTAAGGGGAAGATAGTTGCTATGCAGATATATACACATTTAATATCGATCAATCAAATTCAGTTGTTTTGACGAAGGAAGATCTTGCACTAATCAAGATTCCCATACACTGACAGCGAAACTGACCCGGTACTACAAAAGTCGGCGGGGGAGACGTCAGGTGGCCGCCCACTATTGATCCGCCGCTTCCCGGAGATGTTCCGGTGGCACTACCACCACTGTGGGATCCGCCGCTTTTCGAGCCCTGGTTGTTGCTCGCACTCGATCGGGACCTCTTCAGTTTGATGGAGGGGGCCTTTGGGTGCACTCTTACACTCCCCCCGTGGGAAAAGAAAACAGAGGAGGCCCCGCCGCCCCCTCCGCTGCTGTGGTAAGATGATGAGGATGTTCCGGCGGTGCTAGGGGTTGCGGGGGAGGATATCGCGGATATTAGAGTGCCCCCGTGATGGTGGGGGGCAGAGGAAGAGGACTGTTTGTTAGAGGATGTCGGGGTCAGAGGGGAGTGACCGCTGCTTCCACTCGACAAAGATGACAACTGAATGCAACGAACCAAACCAGCTAATAAGTTCGACATCCATTTTGCTCAACATCCATGTCTTAAAGTTGACAGAGAAAGCTATAGAAGTTGTTTGATCAGGCAAAAACTTTCTATCTAGCACTTCGCTGACTCAGTCTTAAAATAGTAAGTTTCATAAAACAAACCTGTTGTCGGGCCATACCGAAATCAACAACTCATATGTTAATATTCATGTTTAGAATGGTTAGTTTGCTTTATTCGCAATACAAAGACTGCATGAATTATGACCTAAGTTGTATCTTTTTTTGTTTCATTTTGATTCAAAACAAATCAATTATTAACGTCGAGTACAAAAAGGAAAATATAAAGATCTATAGCAGAAGAATTACCTCAATGCCAACCGGATTGACAATTCCGTCGTCTGAGCCCGCACAAGATTCAGCAAAGGAGTCCTGAGCCTTTGGTCCACTTCTGAATTTGGGCGACTTTCTCCCTGCAAGACCTCCCTTCAAGGAAGAAGCACCCCCACTGGTGTTGGCTCCTGTGGGAGGGGGACTCTCCTGGATTGTACCGTAGAGATCAGATGTCATGCAGCTCATCAATACTAGTTTGTTCAGAGTGTCCACTACACTGAAGCCGAAACCATTCGCAAAACAGAGCCTGAAACAGAAAAGAACTAATACATTAGAGAACATCTGAAAACTAAAATTCATTCATGAAAATTTCAACTGATTTACACAACGCAGCTGAAATCGAAGCGGTGCCAACAGAAAATTGCAAAAGCATCAAAGAACTCGAGTAAAATAGAAAAAAGTAAATAAAAAAAGAACTTTTCAACTTAAATAAATCTCGTACATTAACAATCTTGGAATCTATAATGTTTGACTCTTTCTCATAAAACTGACCAAATTTGCGAAAATTGGTTTGGGAGATAATTTTTCTAATCCCCTGGGAACTCTTAAATTTTTTTTAAGTTAGAAGTCCTGTACGGTTTTTTTGCACCATTTGCCTTCCTTTCAGAAAAGGCAATTAAATTCAACTTGAAAAAACCCAAGCGCGAAAAATCAAATTGAGCGGGAAAAGCTTTAGGGAACTTCCCTGACAAATAAATGAAAAACATAGTCAATCGAAGATTGGAAAAGAGTAATGAACGCAAGTCAACATGAAAAAAAAAACAGGTAAAGTTTATATTCCGCTGGAAATCTAAAATTTAAATTCCACTTTCGAAACTAGATATTGCTCATGTTTTCTTGCCCGATTTCCACGTTCGTTTTTGGAGAGCGCTACTTATGTAAATTTCAGCAGATGAATTTCAATTGAACTCCAAAAAGGCATATATACCTAATTGCATTCATAAATGCATCAATATGTATGAATGCACATCTGTAGTTATTAGATACTTTTCCTGAAAAAAAAATCAGCAAGACCTATATAAGAGTCCTGCTGAAGTTGCAAAACTTTGTTTCGAAAAAGGCGGTAAAATACTCAAATAAAACTAAACTTTACATTTTAAATTGAGCTATTGTAAGCGTTTAAGACTGCCCGCTTGCTTCATTCGCTCGAAATAAAACACAAAATCAAAAACTTCGAACCGACTTTTCTCGACACTGGGAGTTTTTTGAAATTTTTTAATATGGCTCGAATCACGATTGCTGAGGTTTCAAAATAATATATCATTCATTCCAGTCCCATCATTATTTGTGGTACCTGACTTTGAGTGAAAAAAAAATGAAAAAACTAAAACACACCCGAATACAAGTTCCTCCCCATTTCCAATAGTCGGAACAAAAATGTTCACGTTGATTGATTCAATTTTCTCGCTGAAAACGTTTCAAGTTGTTACGGACAACTTATTTTTTCTCCGCTTTTTTCGAGAAAGAGTTGACTCCCACCCAGTTTTGGTGCAGAATAGAAAATTTAGCTTCGATCATTTGCTCTCGGTTTGCTGAAATTCGACGTGAAACTTGTGCAAAATGGATATTGAAAATAGGCAATTTACAGAAAAAACCTGAATTTTCGCTTAAGTTTGTCCACTAGCGTATGATTAAAGGTTCAACCTTCTCGTTTCAGTCATTTGATATGTTAAAACATTCAAAAACAGATGTATTTTTTAGGAAAAAGATGTTTGAAAACGTTTTTCATTTACCAAAAAAACAGCTTCTCTTTACCTGCAAAATTTTAAATTGATAAAAGTTAGCAAACATTTCATTGAACATAAAATTGAAGCTTCAGTGACTTTGAGAAGCAAGCGATAAGAGTTTACCCGGCAATAGATTATAATGCACTTTTATAGAGGAAACATTTTTAGAAGAAAACGGAAAGCATATTTGATATGTCTGGATAGTTTTCTGAAGAAGCATCATAATGACATATGATGAGTATCCATATCTTTTTATGCTACAAGCTAGGTTTTATTCAGGACGAAGTAACCTGTTGCTGATCTGAGACGCTGTAGAGGTGCTCTCCGTTGATTTGCCAGAAGTATTTCAGCCTATGAAAATTATTGTGTTGGAGTCATGATAGCAGTTAGATGGCTGTAGTGCCACTAGGAAATAACTTGAGAATTTGGATTGCTCGAAAGACCTAGATTTTTTTTGAGACCATATGGATAAATTTGGGCAGTTCGATATATTGAGAAATAAGATATGGACGGGACGAGGCGAACTTGACAATCTAGAGTTACGAATATGTCAACAATTATATGTGAAGACATAGTAGTCGAGTATACAGTTTTTCTAGGGTTGATTTCAGTTTCGCTGTTCCAAGGAATTTATAAGAGTGCTCGTAACTCATCAAAACGCAGTTGTGACGAAGGTGAAGAGGACTATGAACTGATGTGGAATTGTTGCCGAAAAATCCGGGATAGGAATCTGGCGTTTTGCTTGCAATACAGCTTTTGCGGGAACACAGAAATAAGATTCGAATCCGTGAACAAAGAGTCACTCAGGATTTCCACAAAACTGCTCATGGATATCGAGACGGAGTGCCTAATTCATGTTACAGGAGAAAACAATGATGGAGGGTTGAAAGAGCCTAAGCCACAAATGAAAACGATGAATGAAGAATTAGGAAAGTGAAAAACAAAAAAGAAGCAAAAACTAATATGAGGAGGCGCAAAACGCTAAGTGGCCAAGCGACTAAGCTGTAACAAATTGAAATCCTTTGAAATTGATATCAGTTGTCTACTTGGAGGGCAAAGTTGTTTGGAGTTAGAATTTTTGAATGTGCACTAGGCATTTTGAATACTTTCAAGCTTTTTAATGGCTTTGAAGCAATTTAAAAAAAAGACTGCTCGCTCGCTTTATTCGCTCGAATAACGATGAAAAATCAAAAATTTCAAAACGGTTTTTCTCGACACTGGAAAAACTTTGGTTCGAATCACGACTGTAAGGGCTTTAATATAAAATATAATTCAACCCAGTCCGATGATTATTTGTGGAGGTGTTTTTGCGGGGAAAACAAAGAAAAAAAAACACACCCGAATACAAAATTCCTCCCCATTTTCAGTGTTCTGAACGAAAACTAAAACATACCTGAATACAAAGTTCCTCGACATTTTCAAATGGTCACAATGATAAGCTCAAGGAAGTCCATGAATTTCTATTTTTAAACTCAAAGAAGTATTTTTTTCAAAAACATTCGAATTGCCCGAAAAGTGAACTTTCGAATTTTAAAAATGTATATATAACCATAAAGCTCTTATTTTCAGTATAACCCATGATTGATAAAAAATAGCAAAATTTGAGAATAATGGATGTATCAATAGATACTTTCGTATTCCACTGCAAAATCGGAACAATGGAAATCAATTACGCTTTTCGTGCCATTGAAAATTTGGTATTTGAGAACGCACATTGCCTTTTTCTGTAATTAAACTTAAACTTTGAACACAAAAACCAAACCATAAAAAGTTCAGTTTGAGCGTTATCATCTATCCTACTTTTTAAAAAAAAAACAACAACAACACAATTTATATAAGTTTCATTACTATGTTCATTGACAATTAGAAACGTGATCGCAAACTCATCCAAAAATATTAAAACGACAAATAGAGCTTAAAAGCCAAACAAAATGGGAATCGAGCCAAGGATTTCCTATAACGTATCATATCACTCGATTAAACAACCCTTAATTAGCCAACAAAGTTTGAAAAGCGCACAGTAACTCACTGAAACTTAAAAAAAATATTGGATTTTTCCAAGTTTTCAAATTTCAAATGATACGGGCCTTAAGGTTCTTCAATTTTCAAATTTACAGAATAAAAAAACATCGGTGCTCATTAAGTGAAAATAAAAAACGTATTTAAAAAAGTATTTTAAAAAGAGGCGAAGCCGAACTTCGCAGTAATTGCGATGGAGAAATAATGTACTTCAAGAAAAACGTTTAAAAAAATTAAATTGGAAAATTGTTGCAAAAAATTTATGAAAACTAAATAAGCAAAATTAGTTTGTCTTTCAACTGACATTTTCATTTGGAGACATTTACAGTTGATATGCATCAAAGTCTTCAGAAGACACACGATGAAACTATTTCTACACATTAAACTGATAAAAAACGAATTCTGATTTTTTTTTACTTAAGAACTAAAACAAATTAGATTGAGCAAACAACCCACGTTTCTTAAAATACCAAACTCCAAACTTTTCAAAAAAAAAAATAAATTTCCTAAAAACCAATTACAAAATAATTCAAAATCTTAATATTTAATCATCTTACTCAAAAAAACTCGGATCAAAAAGAGGTTGAAAAAACAAGAAAGAGACACTGGCTAAGAACAATCTTATTATTTTGAAAAGTTCTGGAGCCAAAAACAAACGCCAATTTTAGTTCATAAAAACAACTCCGATCGGAAAAAAACTACAAATTTAGAGGAAGAAAAAAATTTAACCTAAACTCAATCGGAACAAAACTACTGCAAAAATTGAATATCAGATGTAAAAAAAAACTCAAAAAATTAAACAAAAAGAGGAAAAAATTAAACAAAAAATGATGAGCTACTTTACCTGCAACAAAAAAATGCGATAAATACAGCCAATCAAACTACCAAAAACAAAAAACGTTTGAATCATTATTGCTATACAAACTGAGAAAAACAAACAGAAAATTTGAAGAAAAAAAAATTCACTCTTTCCAGGAAGGTCTAGAGGCTCTGAAGTTTTCCGAAATTTCATGTAAGAATTCAATCACTCCCATAAAATACCAACGAAAATAAATCGAAAAAAAAACATTCCGAAAATAAGCCGAGGGAATTAAAGCCGACCTCTTCCAGCGCCGAAATTCTACCTAAAATTAAGGCATAAAAATATTCTAAAAAACTCATAACAAGCAACCAAAGCCCCATACCTAATATCAAACCCCTACATGCTACACCAAACATGGTGATATTGATTTGAAATGATTAGCATTTCGTCCATTCTGTGAACAAAGTCCTTGACGGAAAAAAGTCTAGTACCCGATTGCAAAACCCTTGCTTATCGCAAGGGTAAAAAGAAATTTGAGTTATGAAAGCTATAGAAATATATGATTGATTGAATTGACGAAATGGTAAAAAACCCGGAGTCTTTCAAGTTCAAATCTTTTTCTAACTTTGAACTTAATCGAGTTTAAACTTAAACTGCCTGATGATGAGAACATGGCGATCAATATTGCATGTTCTTCCATTTGCTTTAATGCTTAAAGTACAAACAGATCTTCCTCACTATCGTAATTGGTTGCTTGCTTAACCACGAAGACACAAATAGAGCGCAATTAAATTTAACAAAGAAGCTAATCAATGAAAAATTTTCCTCACACTGAAATAAACATTTTAGCTTGCGTGATAACGATTTTTTAAGGAAATGAAAAACCAAGCTGTCAAATTCGAAAAACATGAGCGTGAACAAACTTAGAACTACTTCCTGGAGAGAAATGACGCAACGGACGTATAAAACTGAACACCCACTTCCTCAATCATTTCCAGAAGTGTTCCCCTTGGGTACTACTATTTTAAGCCATTCATTTTTGGATGAAAGACCCCAAAATTTTTTGAAAGGCGACTTCGGCGCCAAATTCACAAATTTCGAAGGGTGAACGCGCGCCGAGAAAAGCAATTTATTAGTCAACATTTTCAACAAAAAAGGCCCGAAAACACCTTTTTTGGCCTGAAAACGCGATTTTTTGGTCAACATTTTCAAAAAAAAGTGCCTGAAAACACCTTTATTGGCCTGCAGAAATTTGGTCAACATGGTGTCTTTCTAATTTGGAAGAGCTCAGAAAATTGACAACATTTTTGGAAAACCCGCCCCATCCTTCGAGAAAATCCTACATCCCCAACTGCAATGGACTGAAAAACAACAAGAAAAACTGATTCACTTTGAATTTCAAAAAAACATCAATCTCAGGCCCTTTTCATTTTTAAGTATCGATGGGTTATAATTCTAATAAGCTGGGAAACCAAAACAGAGCCAATCGAAGATTAGAAAAGAGTATTCAACGCAAGTAAACAGACTGCCACTTTTTTGATAACATTAACCCAACTTGAGAAAACTGGATCACCAGGTAAAGTTTATATTCCGCTGGAAATCTAAAATTTAAATTCCACTTTCGAAACTAGAAATTGTTCATGTTTTTTGCGCGATTTCCACGTTCGTATTTGGAGAGTGCTACTTATGTTACTTTCAGCAGATGAATTTCAACTGAACTCAAAAAGTGCATATATACTTAAGCGCATTCATAAATGCATCAATATGTATGAATGCGCATCTGTAGTTATTAGAGATTTTTTCCAGAAAAAAAAATAGCAAGACCTATATAAGAGTCTTCACTATGTTCATTACTCCTTAAAAATTAGCATATAATTTTGAAACTAAAGTCGATCACTTTTTTTCTGCGCCCTTTTCTTTTGGCATATGAAATTGGTATCAAAAACACATTAAAAAATAAGCTGTGAAAATACAAAATTGAGCGTAAGCAATTTTTCAGCCTTTTTCCTTGGAAAAAAACACGACCTAAGTATCTTCATTTCGTTTCAGTAGCGGATTTAGGGAGAGGGGCGCTGACGCAGGGATGAAGCGTTCGGGGCGAACGCGGATTTAGGAATTCGAACCCCCGCCGACCCAAAGGGTGCCTGCTTTCGAACTATTTTAAGAGATTCATATTTGGCTGACCGACCCTACTTTTCTGAAGGCGTCAATATATAAAAATTTTAAGCAGGGAGCTCGCGCTGAAAAAAAAGCATTTTTTTGTCAACAGAGATCGCACAAACTTAGATATCGACAGAAACCGTACAACAGTGTGTTCTATGTTGTAGTACTGTTGAGTTAATAGTATGCTAAGGGGACTTACAGGTTGAGGAAGCTATTAACTGCCAATGCTGTGAATGGGGGAGATGATGCTGTGTCTTCCAGAGGAGTGAGTACTTGGCAGCAGATGTCTATCTGGAAGCCAGCCGCCACTTTCACGCTTCCACTCTTCACACTGAAACATCATGCAAATCAGGGGCGGATTTAGGGGGGGGGGGGGGGGAGGCTTACGCTTATTCCTCAGGGATTCGACCCCCTGCCGACCCAAAGGGTCCCCCCTTTGTACTATTTTGAGATATCAATTTTTGGTGACAGACCCTAAAATTTTTCGAAATGCGACTTTGGCGCCCAATTCACAAATTTCGAAGGGTGAACGGGTGCCTCGAAAAGCAATTTTTTGGTCAACATTTTCAACAAAAAATATCAGAAAACGCCTTTTTCGACCTGTTTTTCAAAATTTTGCCTGCGGCACAGAAAATTTGACAAAAACAGGGTCTTTGTAGTGCTTTGGGAGAGCTCGGAAAATCAATTTGGACGACCTAAAACAAAAAAAGGTCGACAAAAATGTCGAATTTTTTTTTGAAAATCCGCCCCCCTCGAGAAAGTCCTACATCCGCCTCTGATGCAAATGGTACATACTTAATCTTAAAATACACTCGCCTTATTATGGAACATTTAGCTCCCTTTTTGTGGACAATTGAGAACAAGTTGTGGGGGATTTTTACGTAATTCAACGATAAAGTTCAATAATTTACTTTAAAAAAATATCTTTGTCCGAGCAGGCAGTTATCGTCGATGTGAAAAAAGCAAGCCCCATACTAACATGAGTTTTCCGGTGGAACAGTTCCTATTCATACTCCTGGAGAGGTTGTGTGGATGCTTCTCGGTGGGCGACGCCTCGACTGAGTTCTGATGGGAAACTGGCGCTGAGTTGGGGTGCGGTGAGGTGGGCTGAGAGACTGGCGCCTCTTCTGTGGAAGAAGCGTGGAAAGTTGCCTGCTGGTAATCCTTGCCAGAGGCCGGCCCCGAATCAAATGATACATCAATGGTCTGCAGAATCAAGATAAAATTATAATTATTGATGTTATCAACTGTTTCTACTCAAGATTTATGGTAAAAAAACTGTTCCACCGTCTGAAAGACCAATTCAACGTTTCAGCACATAAGAAAAAATTTATCTCATAATTCAAAATTGCATGCAAATTAGTTTTTTTTAAAAAAAAAAGATTGTGTTATTTATTCTGACTGGAAATTTTGTTCTAAGAATGATAGATATGATATACTGACCGTAATTTCTTTGGTAGTATCCTCCTTGGCGAAGTTGAACAGCAACACTTGTGCACAGTTGCCGGCCGTTGCCAGCATCTTCTGTTTAACATCGAAGTCCAACAACTGAATGGCGAAGGGCTCCTCCTCTGTACTGCCCCCCACTACTCCTCCTCCCCCTCCCCCCGTTGCTCCTCCTACCCCTGTCCCTGATGAATCAACCACTCGACTTCTTTCAAACACGCGCGCCGTCTTCACTTTGCATAGGAATTGGAACGACACTAAAACAAAAAGAAGCATTTAAAAAACTATGAGAAACATATGAAAATGAATGCTTGCGCTGGAAGGCCGCCTGTTTCTCTCGCTGTATGCAGCAAAATCTTGAGCAAAATTATCAGTGAAAACTGAAAGAGGTTATATGAAAGCGAATTATTTGAACTTTCCGAAAAATTATTATGGCAACGAATGGAGAACAGTTATCTCAACAAGGACAAAGTGGTGTGGATGATGCACTGTGGAACTTACTGGAGAAGATTCCAGATGAGCCAACAAGGATCGCAGTTCAGGAAATGGCAGTAAGACAAGGGAAAAAAGATAAGGAATTTGAAGAAAGGTTGGATAGACTCACATTGTTTTGTGATGAAAGGAATCTAAGACTTAGGGAACAGGAAAAATACACCTCAAAGACTGTGATTATTAGAAACCCCCCGTTCGACCACAAAATACAGTGACACTTGCTAAAAACATTGTGGGCTTTGCTAAAAAATACTTTGATATTTGATCTCAATGGTGATAAACTTGAATCATTTTATATACTTCCTAGGACCAAATTATTGCCTAATGATGTGTTTCAACCAGTCAGATTGAAAATTGTGCACTTTCACAAAAAGGATGACTTTTACAATAAATGGAAGTTGTTAAAAAATTGTCTGAATCCATTAAATCGGAAAAACATTTGGCTGAATGAGCCATTGCTTTCAGTCGAGGCTTTTCTAAAACAGTACGCCGATGAGCTGAATCTCATCACTGCAACAAAAAACTGCAATGCTAGCATACTTTGTTACGTTGGGGATAGGGAAGTTTTTCTACCAGTAAAAACAATCAAAGATATTCACGGATAACAACCAATGTTATTCACGGATTAAAGAAGTTTTTCTACCAGATTATTACAATAATTGAAGTGCTTTGTAATACTATATTTGTCGTATAAGGTTTTGCAAATCTGAGAACAGAAAACGAGAGCGGTTTAAGTAGTTCAGGATAAAGTCCTAGAAAGTCAGTCAGCTGGATGGCAACAAATAATTCAGACAAAAATTAACCTAAAGTTTAACCTAAAGTTTAGGCTAGTTTTTAGTTTAATTTTCTCCCTTTTTCAACTTTTTTTTAACTAAGATAGAAATTTAAAATCAACTTTTTTTATGGATAAAATTTTAAAAAATAAACTCATTAAGTCTAAATAAAACTAGTATCACGGTATATACATCTTACATGAAGCAATTTCCGCTGATTAAGATTGTATGGAAATTATAAAAGGGGCAAAAAAAACAAAGTACGATACGTTTTCTAGAAATAGATTTAAAAAATTAATTCACAGAAATTTTTTTTTTCAAATATACTAACTAGGTTGAAAACGAAAATCGATGAACAAAAAATAGTACAAAAGTGTGCGATGCAGGAAGCGATTTTTGCTAAGATGATAATTTAATTACTAGTTAGTCGAAATGGTACGGCATAACGTCACTAGGTGTTTCGAAATTGATCATTGAAAGGCAGGAAGCGATTTCCGCTGAATGCAAGAAAACTTAAAAACTTTTTTTATTGGAAATCAAATGTAGCATTACAATCATTACATCAAAATTTTCTATATATACCCCTCAACGAGGCTTTTTTACTTACAAATCAAATTCAAAATACTCTAGATAAATTCTTACCAGTTCATGAAATAAAAAGCAAAAAAGATACCAAAACATGGATTACAAACCAAATCAAATGTGAAAGTACGAAAAAATGCAAATTGAACAAACTTTATATATAAAATCCCAGAGCAGCCGCAAAACACTTATAGCAAAGGATACAAAACAAAGTTAAATCAATGGTAAGAGATTCGCTTAATAAATATTATGAGACACAAATAGAAACAACAAATTTTTTCGATTTCGTCAAGTGTTAAGCCAACAGTAAAAACAGACGCAAATAAACAATGCAACGTAAGTAATATATCAGCTGAGCTTTAAATCAAAATTTTGTTGACATTGGGCCGAAGCTAGCTGAATCTCTGAATACGTAATTTTTTAAGTGTAAGAACAGTAAAGAATAAATGTTTTTTTTTTGTAAATCTAAAATCAACAGAAACTTTTGAAACCATTGGTAGTTTGCAAAACATAAAGAGCCATGATTGCTATGGATTCTCAAAACTTTCTTCATAAGAACAATTAAGCCGACAATCTGTTCAACTTTGAAAGTTTTATTAATCGAATACTTGAAGAAGAGTCTTATCCGGAATGTTTGAAAATTATTCCAATTCACAAAAAAGGAAAAAAAAGATTCGAACACAAATTACCGGCCAATATCACTTCTACCAGTTTTTAGAAAAGTATTCGAAAAATAATTATACTGGAGGATTGTTGGGTTACTTTGAAAAAATGAAGTGTTTTCGAGCAAACGGAAAGGTTTTCTGTCAAAATGACCAAGAGTTGATGCAATAGTGGAATTTCTCGAATCAATTGAAAACTTTTGTCAAATATGAAAAATAGTTTTTGCACCCTCATTGATTTATAATTTGAAATCGTATCTCGAGAATCGTTATCAATTTGTTCAATTAAATCAAACAAAAAGTAATCAACAAAACAAAATGCTGGGTTCCTGAGGGATCAGTTTTGGGTCCACTTCTGTTTCTCCTTTACATCAACAATCTCCCCGGGATTCCAGAAAACAACAACGTCGTTCTTTTTGCAGATGATACTAATCTATATTGCGAAGTTTCGGAAAAAAATTTTGATCTGAATTTGAATAACATAGGAAGATTGATGGCAGCAAATAAATTTACAGTTAAGACAAAAACAAAACAATTGTATTCAGTTCAAATAAATTGAAATCATTGGAAAAGTTTCGCGCGAATGTCATAAAACAGAAAATGATGTTAGATATTTAGGAGTTCAAACTGATCGCAACTTGAGTTTCACAGAACATATCCGAAATATGAAAAACAGATGCGCAAAATTCATTTAGTTTCTCTAGCAAACTAGAAACATATTATTGATTCAACAACTCGAGAGAGTCTACAAAAGCTACATACAACCGATTTATAAATATGAAATAATGATTTATGGCTGCACCTAAAAAACAAATCTAGATAAACTACAGAAACAAAAAAAAATTATGAGAAAAATCACCAGGAAAAGAAAGTTCGATGAAATAAGATCGACGAGACGAAAATACATATTCTACTTAATCTATGAGTTACATACATACGAAGTATTAGAAAAACTAACAAAAATTATAAGAAAAGAACATACAAGTAAAGATGTGAATAGTTTCATAACATCAAAAGAAAAAAGTAAGCAACTCTTTAGTGACACACGGATTAGAACATTACAAACGCGATCTGTAATGAATAAATTTAATAAAAAGAAAATAAGTGAGCGAATTAAGACTTCGTTTCAATAAGATGGCCTACTAGACTATAAGATTTTGTTTAAGATAATGCAATGCCAAGCAACTAAATTAGACAGCTTTGTTCATAAACTCAGAGACCTATTTCTATGTGATACTGATTTCTGTTCAAAGGTTTTTTTTTGGTAAAACTGGGCCGAATTTTTTTTTTGTTGACTAACTAGTTTGTTTCATTTTAGGAAATCACAAATAAATTTCCTTGGTCTTTATGGTTTAGATCTACATCAACAAAAACGGTTTATGCAAATTTTTAGGTTTCAATTGGGTAAAAACAAAAAATATGGATTCTGATTTTCTAAATTGCGGTTTAAGTGGTTCAGGATAAAGTCTTAGAAAGTCAGTCAGCTGGATGGCAAGAAATAATTAAGACAAAAATTAACCTATAGTTAGACTTCTTTTTTGCTTTTTTCCTGTTTTGTCTCAGGTTTAGGTTAGTTTTTAGTTTATTTTCTCCCTTTTTCGAATTTTTTTAACTAAGATAGAAATTTAAAATCAACTTTTTTTATAGATAAAATTTAAAATAATAAACTCATTGAGTCTAAATGAAACTAGTATCACGGTATATACATCTTACATGAAGCAATTTCCGCTGATTAAGATTGTATGGAAATTATAAAAGGGGCAAAAAAACAAAGTACGATACGTTTTCTAGAAATAGATTTAAAAAAGTAATTCACAAAAAAAATTTTTTTTCAAATAAACTAATTAGGTTGAAAACGAAAATCGATGAACAAAAAACAGTACAAAAGTGTGCGATGCAGGAAGCGATTCCCGCTGAATTCAATGATGAAAAAACCAATATGATTCATTTGAAGCGATTTCTGTTAAGATGATAATTTCATTACTAGCTAGACAAAATGGTACTGCATACGTCACTAGGTGTTTCGAAATTGATCATTGAAAGGCAGGAAGCGATTTCCGCTGAATGCAAGAAAACTTTAAAACTTTTTTTATTGGAAATTAAATGTAGCCTTACAGTCATTACATCAAAATTTTCTATATATACCCCTCAACGAGGCTTTTCTACTTACTAATCAAATTCAAAATACTCTAGATAAATTGTTACCAGTTCATGAAATCAAAAGCAAAAAAGATACCAAAACATGGATTACAAACGAAATCAAATGTGAAAGTACGAAAAAATGCAAATTGAACAAACTTTATCTACAAAATCCCAGAGAAGCCGCAAAACACTTATATCAAAGGATACAAAACGAAGTTAAATCAATGGTAAGAGACTCGCTTAATAAATATTAGGAGACACAAATAGAAACAACAAATATTTTCGATTTCGTCAAGTGGGAAGCCAACAGTAAAACAGACGCAAATTAACAATGCAACGTAAAGAAAATTTATCAGCTGGGCTTTAAACCAAACTTTGGTTGATATTGGGCCGAAGCTAGCTGAATCTCTGAATACGTAATTTTTTAAGTGTAAGAACAGTAAAGAATAAATGCTTTTTTTTAAAATCTAAAATGAACAGAAACTTTTGAAACCAATAGTAGTTTGCAAAACATAAAGAGCCATGATTGCTATGGACTCTCAAAATTCTTCATAAGAACAATTAATCCGGCAATCTGTTCAACTTTGAAAGTTTTATTAATCGAAT